AAATAACTCTGACCAACTTAATATTAATCAAGGTTTTTTTTTTTTTTTTTTTTGTAGAACCAAATGTTAAATTGAAGAGTTTGTTACAGGTGGGAGTCAGTGACGATGTCTTCCGAGTCTGGAGTGTAAGCTAACAGCAGAGCTCAGTAACTAAGAGCCAGCTTGTCTGCCATTCAGCAGCCTGGTATCTTTGAATAGGGCACCTAACTTCTCCAGTTCTGCACCATTTACTGAGAGCTTTTGCTGAATATCTGACTACTTCTCTCCTCTTCTACTGTAGCCAAACACCCGGCTTCCCAAACACCTGCTCCCAAACACCAGCTTCTTTGCCCTGCATTAGAACAATAGCTTCCCAACTTGTCCCCAGCAGCCAGAGTCTGAAAACATCAATCACTGGCTGGCATTGTGGCACAGGTGGTTAAGCCACCACTTGCAATGCCTGCATCCCACATAAGATTTCAGGTTACAGTCCCACAGCTCTGCATCCAGTCTAGCTTCCTGCTATTGTGCCTGGGAAAGAAGCACAAGATGGACCAAATACTTTGAAGTTTCTGGCTTCTGGCTTTGGCCTGGCCCAGCCCTGGTTGCTGCAGGCATTTGGGGAGTGGACCAGTAAATGGGATATATTCTCTCTCTCTCCCTCTCTCTCTCTCTCTCTTTCTCTCCCCCTCGTCCCTCCCCCCTCCCTTTGGTTTCATTCTGTCACTCTGCATTTCAAATAGATAAATTAACATTTTTAAAAACATAAAGCACTTTGGGGCAGGTGCTGTGGCACAGCTGGTTGAAGCCCTGGCCTGAGGCACTGGCATCCCATATGGGTGCAGGTTCTGGTCCCGGCTGCTCCTCTTCTGATCCAGCTCTCTGCTATGGCCTGGGAAAGCAGCGGGAGATGGCCCAGGTCCTTGGACCCCTGCACCCACATGGGAGACCCAGAAGAAGCTCCTGGCTTCAGATTGGCGAAGCTCCCACAGTTGCAGCCATCTGGGGAGTGAACCAGCAGATGGAAGACCTCTCTCTCTGTGTCTACCTCTCTCTGTGACTCTTACAAATAAATAAAAAAATAAATCTTTAAAAAAAATAAAGCACTTCATGTTATTTCTCTTGTGACTCAAACTTCTTTGGCTTGTGTCACATTATGTTTCTTGTAAGGGACTAAGGACAGTCTAAAACATAGAGTAAACATTTATTTCATTGGGCAGCCATCTACTGAGGCCAACTATGTGCTTGGTGTGGGAGAGACAGCAGTGAATAATATTGAGAAATACTGCTGACCTTGTGGGGAGGAGTGGAAATGTCTCAGTCCAATGAAATAAGAATAGCATACTGCCATCCCCCCAGTTGTAAAAGTAATTCTTTTCTTTGGGGTCATGGGCAGAAGTGAGAAGGCTGAGACTGAGGGCTGACTGCTGGTCCCTTTAGTAGTAGAGAACAGAGAAGGTCCCTACTAGCAAATGGTCATCTGTTGTACCCAGGTTTAGTGGATGGTAAGAATGAAAATGAGAAAACTCTCAAGAAGAATTTGGTTTTAAAATCTTGCCATCCTGCCAGTCCAGGAGGATTGTGATTCCAGATAGTGACTGAGTTATTGAAAATAAAGGAATTCAGAGCATTTGATGGAGCAGTTCAGTTGCCACTTGGGACACCTGTGTCCCATATCACAGTGCCTGAGTCTGATTCCCAGCTGTGCTCCTGATTCATGCTTCCTGGTAGTGCAGACCCTGGGAGGCAGTGTTTGGGTCCCTGCCAACCACAGTGGGAGCCCGGGATTGAACTTCCAGCTCCTAACTTGTGCTAGCTCAGCCCTGGTTGTTGCAAGCATCTGGGGAGTAAACCAGAGAATGGGAGATCTCTTTCTCTATCTCTGTCTCTCTTCTTAGATAAATAAATATTTAAAAAAAAAGAAATTTGTAGCTATTATATTTTATTTATTTATTTATTTAAAGATTTATTAATTTATTTGAAAGTCAGAGTTACACACAAAGAGAAGGAGAGGCAGAGAGAGAGAGGTCTTCCATCCGCTGGTTCACTCCTCAGATGGCTGCAATGGCTGGAGCTGTGCCAATCAAAAGCCAGGATCCAGGAGCTTCTTTCAGGTCTCCCACATGGGTATAGGGGCCCAAGAACTTGGGCCATCTTCTACTGTTTTCCCACGCCATAGCAGAGAGCTGGATTGGAAGTATAGCAGCTGGGACTTGAACCAGAGCCCATATGGGATGCCCACACTGCAGGCGGTTGCTTGACCTGCTACGCCACAGAGCAGACCCCATGTAGCTATTATAAATCTCAGTTTGTGGTCTGAGTTTTATGCACATGAATAACACCATGAGGATTAGATACCTACCCTGAACTCAAAAAATGCAATCACTATTCCAACTACTGGTAATTAAGGACCACAAAATAATCCTTTTCCTTAGTTTTTATAACATTTTCATTGCACTTTTTGGAATATTGGAATCTACCACCAACATAACATAAAAATGACAAGCCAGGTCATATAAGCCCTCTCCCAAATGTTACAGAGCAAATGTAAGCCTCATTTTGTGTGCAAATAGACTTGACCTCAAGGCATTTATAAGTAAATCTTATTGTTGAAATAGGTTGCAAATAGGAATAACAAAAATAACATGGGAGCTTTCTTCTTTGATTCAACAATGGTTTTATTTCCATACATTGAAAACTGGCCAGGTGAATATTGGTTTTAGTCATATATTCTGGGCTGAAGTTGGAAGAGAAGAAAATTAAGTGGAAACATGGCAAATAAAAATCCTAAAAGTTCTTCAGAATTGTAAACAGACGTGTTAGAGGTCTCAGCCACCAAAATGCTAGAAGTTAAAAACAAAAACAAAAACAAAACAAAAAAAAGGCTTCTTCCTAGGCAATGGATGGAAATGAGTAGAAAAGGCATTCCTACTTTTATGGAAAGATTCCAGAAATACGGCAACTCATCAAACTGCAGGAGTTTGAAAGCAAACCTGAGGTGTTACCAAGGCCAGCAAGACTCCCCCCAGCAGAATCATTGCCTCTAAGCTTTTCTGAGGTTAAAAGCAGTCATCTGAAATCCAGCTCCCATCTGTCATATACTCTCTTTGCTTTGGCCTGCTTAGCGGGGTAGAGAGTTGTAGTTAATAACAGATTTTAGTAAGTTAATTCTATTGTGCTTTCTATTGATTACTATCTCACCTGTGAGTATCATAGTGAATTTATGCAGTTCGTTATTAAAATAAAATTCAGGATCATGTTGTAGATTCACCATCATGGATACCTATCCTAATGGTGTTGAAGCACCAATAGGTGGGGTATGTTTAACAGAGTGCTAGAGCGGAGAGAATGTCTGAGATGCTGCCATATTCTAGTGCAGGAATACACTGGTACTGATACAGTGGTCAAGTGCACAGACTTGGTATCTAGACACTCTGGGTTCTGGTGTCTGCTGCACTAATCATTATGCTAGCCCTGAAAAATCACTAGACACTCACTATACCCATCAGACAAAATGAGATTAGTTATAGTGCCTGTCTCCAAGAGTTGCCTAAGAATTACATAGATTTCTTTACAGTAAGTGTTTGGAGCAGCAACTTAACACATAACAGATGCTATTTAAGCATTAATTATTATTACTGTCCATGAGAAAAACAGACAATGTAGTCTTGACTCTTGTAAAAATAATATTATAAATAATCTTCCTTGTAAATATTGAACATACATGTTCTCTATATGTTCTATATGTATTTTTGATATTTACAAGATTATGTGTATATGTATGTGTATATAAATATATATGAATATATATGCAGCTAATTGAGTCCTTACTGTGTGCCAGGGATTTTAACATATATTTTAAGTCATTTAGTATAAAAATAAGATTGATATTTTTAAAGATTTATTTATTTATTTGAGAGACAGAGCTACTGACAGAGACAGGGAGAGACAGAGAGAGGTCTTCTATTCACTGGTTCACTCCCTAAATGGCCACAATGGCAGGAGCTGGGTGGATCAGAAGCCAGGAGATTCTTCCTGGTCTCCTACATGGGTGCAGGGGTCCAAGCACTTGATCCATCTTCCATTGCTTTCCTAGGCCTAGTAGAGCAGCCAAGACACAAACTGGCATCCATATGGATGTCAGCACCACAGGCAGAGGCTTAACCTGCTATACCACAGCACCAGCTCCCTAAAAAGATTTCTAATATAATTTTTTCTTACTATAACTTAGAGGAAAATAAAATATATTTCTCCATTCAAGTTTTCTATTTAAAAAAGTTCTACCTCTTGCATTCTTTGAAAAAACCAGTTCCTGGGAGATGTGTGACATCTCAACTCTTCAGTGTTGGTATATATAGTAGCTTCTATACAGCACTAATGATATATTGAATTATCCACGTAGTGTGCAACTTGACATTATTTTTTTTATTTGACAGGTAGAGTTATAGACAGTGAGAGAGATAGAGAAAAAAGGTCTTCCTCCCATTGGTTCATTCCCCAAATGGCCGCTACAGCCGGTGCTGTGCTGATCCGAAGCCAGGAGCCAGGTGCTTTGTCCTGGTCTCCCATGCGGGTGCAGGGGCCCAAGCACTTGGGCCATCCTCCATTGCCCTCCCAGGCCACAGCAGAGAGCTGGACTGGAAGAGGAGCCACCAGGACTAGAACCTGGCGCCCATATGGGATGCCGGCGCAGCAGGCGGAGGATTAACCACGGCGCCAGCCCACACTTGACATTCTTAACGTTCAAGACCAAAGCTAACACAGTGTCCTTAACTGTTAAGAAGGCTATTTTAAATACAGGTTAACTAAAGGTCTGACTGAATCCAAACTAATTTCGAGTCAAACCAAGCTCATTTAAACACATATACCCCAAATCCAAAAGGCATGCCTGCTACTCCTTTCTTCCTCCCATAAAAGAATATTTCAATCTCTCCTCATATCTACATAATTAACAATTTATGTTACCCTGGCCCTGAGATAAATACTAATTAAGGAAGATTTTTCTCCAAGTAAACACTTACCTCTCAAACCAGCACTTTGAAATGTGTTATCACCTGGTTCTATAAAAGCAATCTGGGTGGAGTGGTTCCCTGGACCTGTTGGGGAAAATATTTGCCATTACCCTAATGAATACCTCTTTAACATACAAACCTGTTATAAATATAGCTCACAATTGTCAGTATGGAGCACAGGGAAATGAGTTTCTGTGGAGAAAACAGAACTGTTTGCTTATTCCTACAGATCCGGTGATTCTGTGCCCTCCACTTGTTGGCACATGGTGACAGCTGGCCATTCCACAGTGGACAAAAACATTTCCCCCTGGCATGTTCTCTTCCCTGGCCTATGTTGAACAGAGGCCAAGTTCATTTACAGCTATTTCAAGGGCAGAATTTAAGAGTATCTCAAGGGCTCTCACAACATTTGCTTTGCTAAGGTGGCATGGCATGATACCCGGTCTTGGTTGGTTCACAGATTTCAGCATACAACATCTCCACAAGCTGGGGAAACTCTCATATTTATAAAACACACACTCTTACCATCCATCCAGGAGCCTTAACAAAACAACTCAAAACAATGTACACTTTCCCCATTTCCTTCAGCGTAAACTTCCTCAGAGCACTCTCAGGTTTCTTGATAGCAGAAGGAGGTTAAGTAAACGTTGAAAACAAACCATTAGACTTGCTGGGCTGGATTTTTGAAAGTTCTCCAAATTCCAGCACGGCCACTTCTTTCTGATGTGTCCTTTTTAATCCTCCGATAGTAAAGTCATAGATCAACATTAACTCACAGATTCTTTAAAAAATCTTCCTGGATGGGAGACAACCCAGTTAGTAAAAGGGAAAGTGTGCCTACTGGCCTTCTCTCTGGAAATCATGACAGGTGCCTGCCTGTATCCTGTTTGGACAGAGTTTCAGGCTGGCATTATAGCTCGAATGCTTGAGTAAGGGCTTTGTTCACTATTGATATGTTCAACGTACTTCTGTTGAATGAATAACATTAGGTACAGTGTTAACATAATCTTGCCTCTTTTTACTTCAGTGTTGTCACCCAAGGTTTAAATCAGAACAAAAGGGTTGAAATGATATACTACTATAGTATAATGATTAAATGAAATTTATTAGAAAAAGTTTATACAAAACTTCTGAGTGGGGCCTGCACTGTGGCTCAGGGGGTTAAGCCACCATCTGCAGTGCCAGCATCCCATATGGGTGCTGGTTCAAGTTCTGGCTGCTCTGGTTCTGATCCAGCTCCCTGCTAGTGTGCATGGGAAAGCAAAGGATGATGGCCCAAGTTCTTGGGCCCCTGCACCCAACCATGTGGAAGACCCGAATGAAGCTCCTGGCTCCTGGGTTATGCCTAGGCCAGCCCCAGCTGTTGCAGCCATATGGGTAATGAACCAGCAGATGGAAGATCTATTCCTCTGTCTCTCCGCTCTCTCTGTAACCCAGTCTTCAAATCAATAGTAAATCTTAAAAAAAAAAAAAAAAAAAAACTTCCTCAGGATAGTGTTTGCAGTCATGATATAAAAATTCTAATATTTTTTCTTTAAGACCAGTTTAGTTATTTATAATAAATTTATTTTTATTCTTAGATATTATCTTTTTACAATTTGTCAACACTTCCCTGAAAATGACAGACATTGGGGGTAAAGCTGAGAGTTCAAAATGTATCCTTTAAAACTACTACAAAGAAATTTTTAATCTCTCATCTTTTTAATTTACCATAAAATAAACAAAAAGAACCACATTGGCCATTGCATTTGTAAGGTTGCTCCTTTCATTAGTATGGCAGCTTTCTGGATCTAGATTTCAGAGCTGGTAATCATTTCTTGCTATTTTCAGTGTGTGATAAGAGGGATGTGAATGATGGCATGTGGGCAATAAATAATTTCTTATTGAGTTTCTTTGACACTTTGAGTCAGCAAATTATTTTTTGAAGGCCCTTAATTGAACATTTTAGCCATCATGGGTCCTATGGCACCACATGAAGCTAGTGCTTCTGCCACTGCAGCACAAAGACAGCCATAGGAATACCAAACAAATGTGCAGGATGTGTTCACTTACAAAAGCAGGCCGTAGGGAGGATTTGGCCTCCTCCACCATAGTTTGCCAATGCATTTTATATCATGCTTCTTGGATGTTGTGATGCCAAAATAACATGGTTCATCAGGAAAATAAACAGTTAAAAGTTTTAGTTTCATAATACACAGACCCTGCCTTCCTGAGAGAAATGATCTTCCACACATTCTGAATCTAGATATGATATTGTTTTGCTCTGTAAAAGTGTCCATAACAACTTTTCCTTTCTGGAACTATAGTTTTAATAGTTGATAAACCATATTGTGCTTACCTCACCCCAACATAGGCAGAAGGTAGGCACATACTAAAGATGTTTCCCATCCAAGAAGTCTTTCCATTCAAATGGAGAAATCTCAAGTGCTTGGGTGACTGACATTCACACTAGCTCCTGATGAAAGTTTTTAAGGCTCAGCTTTCCCACCCCTCCAGCCCTGCTCCCTCATCCACACCAACTCCACAGTCAATGGCATTGGTAACTCCACAGTCAATGGCATTGGTTCCTAAGCCCCTGTTAAAAGGGAAGAATGCAAACGAGGATCATGTGCAAGAAGACATTGGGCCCAAAACTCATTCTCTCTCCATGTGCTGATTGCTGAGTAAACATCTGAGCAGGTGCAGCAAGATGTGAAATAGCTGTGAATCTACCCCTCATCCAAACTCTCTGTAGTCAAAGCCATCAGGTTGAAAACTTTATGTAAATAACGTCTTTCTTACTCTGCAACCATCTGCCTTATTTGAAGGGTTTAATGGGTTTGTATTCTTGAAAATGCTACACATGGTTTTGAGATTCTTTGTTGTTGTTGCCAACATGTGATTTCACTGAAGACAAGCAATAATAAAGTTCACAGCACTGTAATAAATATGAATGGAAAGTACAGTTTCTAATAATTACCTTCCTAGCCTACCTTTTTTTAAGAGTTATTTATTTATTTCAAAGTCAGAGTTACACACAGAGAGAAGAGTCAGAGAGAGAGAGAGGTCTTCCATTTGCTGGTTTACTCCCCTATTGGCTGCAACAGCTGGAGCTGTGCCAATTCGAAGACAGGAGCCAGGTGCTTTTTCCTGGTCTCCCATGCGGGTGCAAGGACCCAAGCACTTGGACCATCCTCCACTGCCTTCCCGGGTCACAGCAGAGAGCTGGACTGGAAGAGGAGCAACCCGGGGCCCATATGGGATGCCGGTGCCGCAAGCGGAAGGATTAACCAAGTGAGCCACAGCACCGAACCCATCTCCCCACCAAATTTTAATGTCACCATTGTGGAGTTAAGTGGAAGCCTCACTGTGCACTATGGTAGCTGTTGAGTGCATCACCCAGAGAAGACTGCTCCCATACAGCCTTCCAAGGTAGCATTTGCTTTGCTGGGATTTCTTAAGGTGCGTGACTTGTCCTCCCAAACTTTGCAAATCTATCTTTTCACACACAGATTGCCTGAAAGTTGAGGATTCATAATACTGCATCCAATAGAGATAGCTGTATTAATCTCTAATGAAAGTGGATTGCTAGGCCAATGCAATATTTCCTAGTAGATGAGATACTTGGGAAGCCTTGTTTTTATGAGGACTGGGGAACCAGAACCCAGGTAAGGGAAAATTATAGAGGAACAATGTGAAGTAATGTTGGGGTATCATAACTTCACATCTCCATAAGTCCATAAGTCGTCACATCTATTGGCAAAGGAGACCTCTAGCTGGGCAAACAATGCACTACTCAGCTAAACAGAGTGCTTGAATAGGCATGTTCTCTTTTTCGTCTTTGGGTCAATGATTCCCAATGAATTAGCAACAGAATGTCTTACTGAGCTATGGAAAGGCACAAATTCCTCACTCTACTTTGCTCTCTCCCCCTCAAGATAATTTAAACTAGAAAGGGAGGACCCAGAAATCTCATTTAGAAGATTCTGATACAAACAGTTGCAGTGTTTGCCAGTCTCTGTTCTTTGAAATCAGAAAGCTATGAAACAAAATTGTGGATCTATCACTTAGAAAAATTAACTTGGGAGAGTTATAATATCATTCTTCTAGAAAGTGGGGATGAAAATATCTCCCAACCAGGAATGGTTGAAGGCTCAATTATGCTAGTTAAGCACTGGGTAGCTGTTCACTGTCTCTCCAAATAAAGTGAGAAACAACTACATTACTGTTTTAGCCCTGGATCCCTGAGCAGCTTTCTAATTATTCTGATTGGAGTCCTGCATGTAGCAGCAAGTTATAGACAAGTTCTCAGCTATTTACCATAGAGGTTAATCATGTGGAAATACTTATTTTTCCTAATCCCAAGTTTTAGGGTGAATGTCTCACCAATGCTCAAAACTCAGCGGCAAGTGTGAACAATTCAACAGAAAGCAAGGCTCATAAGAATCATGTGTTCAGAAAATGTTAATAAAGGGAAACTTGCAGTTGAAAGATAGATGGGGTGGTGATTGTTAGACACTGTACTTTCAAATAATGAGTGAAAGATGTATGAGATAATTTTTATATTGCTCTTTAGACCACTTCATAAAATAGCAGAAGTTGGTAAGAAAAAATCCAAAACAGGATAAATGGTGAGGGCTAGGGAAGGAAACACACAGGGCATTGCCCTTCCTCACTGCCAAGTAACTCCCACTAATAGCCTAAAAGTGTGAAAACAATCCACACAGATGGCTCATTCAGCACAGCTTTGAAACTGAAGAGAACCTAGTTTATCGCATGGCAATGAGACGGGTGTAATCTGTGCGCACTGGGCCTCCACTGGCCTGAAGGTTGTGTGTGCTGCCATCCTGGCTGAAATAAGCCCTGCCTCCCTCAGACTCCCATCCACTGCTGCAGGGCTCCACTCAGCTCAGAGCACCAGGCAGGAACTGCTTGGAGAGTTCGTGAATCACCTCCCATGGCTGGCGAGCAGTGAGTGTGGCTGAGGCCATGTCACCGATCCTTTCTCGCTCTCATACCCTTTGGTGATAATCCACTTCTGCCGGGCCTCTGGTTCACTCCAGGCTCCCAACCGGAAACTGGCCACTGGCCACTTCTCCCACATGTGCTGACTACTTCCGATATTGTGGGGCCACTGAGCATGCCGATGTTGTAGAGGGGCTAAATCCAAACTGCGCCCCCCGCAGGCACAAATGACCTCCCCTCCTCCTTCAGAACATGAGTTCATGTTGTCATAAAGGGCCCAGAGTTTTACAGAAAGTCCAGTGGAAACAGTCCTCTGGGGGGCATTAGCAGAAGCATTGGCCCCTTCTTCCCACTTCTTGAGAACAGACTCAACTCCTGGTGCTCTGAGTTTCAGAGACAAACAACACTCTGTCCTCAGCCCCCTGCACTCCGCTTCCCCCTGCACACACAGTCCACACTGGTCTTTGTTATCACCTCCATGTTATTTTCCTCATTCCCTTTTACCTCAAGAGCACCTCTTTTCTGGAGGACTCTTCATCCTGTTCCTGGGTAAATATTTTCTGCTGGCCCATCTTACGGGTTGATGAATTAAAGATCTGAGTCCCAGTAACCACCAGCGTACACTCAAAAAAAAGAGCCCTGCAATGTGGAGAAGATGGAATTAGAGGAATCTGCCAAACACTAAGCAAGCAAGCTGACATGGGGTGCTGTTTCTCTTGCTATTTTAAAAAAAACAGCAAGGTAATTTACCCAGCATGGTTATTCTGTTCATGTTGTTTTCCTTCTGCTTTTGACACTGCTAATCATTACTGATCCCTCTTGCCAGATATTCCTAAAAAGAAGCTACATGACCTGTTATCTTATCTCAATAGATATTACAGTATATCACCCGTTTGTTTACTGGTCCCGGTTGTGCACAAGGAGAATCTGTGAAATGGGACATTGAAAATGAGCCTTCCTTGCCTTGTTGGGAAATCTCAAAAGAGAAGTCACTGCCCAAGGCAGACAGACTCTGCTTCCCTCTAAACAGCCCTGATCTGCTCCCAGAGATTCACAAAACTACGCATGAGCTGTTTTACTTGCAACTCATGTCATCACATGCATGTTTTCATCACCAAACTTCACAGGATAACTACTTGAATACATCACGTATGTGTCTTTTTTCAGTCTTTGTGATTTTTTTATTTGGCAAGGACATTAATAAGCTTGTAGGCAGTGAAAAATCTTAAACACTGTTGCATGGCTACATAGACAGATTGAATTAGAGGAAATGTAGATTCGTATGAGTCAGTGTTAACAATAGAGAGTTTTTAAATTGTACTGTAACAAAAAATACTGTGTGAATTGTCGAAAAGCACAAGGGTGTAAATATTTCAGCCCCATTAATTCCCATAATTGTCATTTTTGAACATTTCAAAGGAAGTTTAATTTAACTGAATTTGAGTAAGGTAGCGTTCTTTTATTTACCAAGTACCATGTGTTCTGAGGACATGAACAACAACTCTCGATTCACAGAACTACAGCAGTTAGGTTTGCAGTTCATAACATTTCAACCATCTCCGTGAAGCCTAGGTTCAGATCCAGCTTAAGCTCTGTTTTATTTCTATATAAATTTATATTTGTAGCCAGCACCGCGGCTCACTAGGCTAATCCTCTGCCTGCGGCACCGGCACCCCGAGTTCTAGTCCCGGTTGGGGTGCCAGATTCTGTCCCGGTTGCTCCTCTTCCAGTCCAGTTCTCTGCTGTGGCCTGGGAAGGCAGTGGAAGATGGCCCAAGTGCTTGGGCCCTGCACCCCATGGGAGACCAGGAGGAAGCACCTGGCTCCTGGCTTCGGATCAGCGCAGCGCCGGCTGTAGCGGCCATTTGGGGGGTGAACCAATGGAAGGAAGACCTTTCTCTCTGTCTCTCTCTCTCTCACTGTCTAACTCTGCCTGTCAAAAAAATTATATATGTGGGTTAGTCATTTTTTAAAAATGCCTTGTATTTTTATTTATATAAGGTGAAGAAATTTCCTGTATTCCATATATACAGATTTAGGAGCATGGGGAGTCTTCCCACACTACTCACCCTCCCGCTCCTCATGCTCCCACCCTCCCTCCTCCTTCCTTTCTTATTTTAATTTTTAGAATGACATACTTTCACTTTATTTTATAATCATCTGCTTAACCCTCTACTAAGTAAAGAATTCAACAAGTAGTAAGAAGAAAAGAAACCACCGCTCCTCAATAGTAGAGACAAGGGATGTAAATAATAAATCCAATGTCAAAATGTCAATTTCACTCATATACACCACATTTTTTGTACTCTGTTAGTATACAACACATGTACATTGTTTTAAAGTTCATCCTTAAAAGTAGCGTTGTTCTTTCTTAAAACAAAGGGATAGAATATTGTGTTCTACAGTGAATTTTGGAGCTGAAAGTTGTTTAGTCAGGACTGTAAACCTTCCACAGTATAATTCTTTTACATGTAATGAGAATGGCAGACACAAATGTGTGAACAGGCTTTTAGGGCAGCCTGGTAGAGAAATAGGTGTGAAGGTCCCAGGACAAAGCATGGAATTAGAAAATATTTTAAATATTGATGTTCTCATTAGGATATAAACTATGCATTGTTAGCAATATAATACTTAGGTACACTTTTATACACATCCTATTGTTTGAGCCATGCGGAACAAGTAACATTATTTTCTTCGGTTGTTGGAAGAGGAAATTCAGGACAATCCAGAGAAATCTCTGCTGGGATTTGTTGTTACCTACAGCAGGGAACAGGACAGAGAAGTCCTGTTTTCCTGGTCTTCAGCATCTTTCTATCAGCCAGGATATGTGGGAGTGCAGAGGGATCTATATATCCTCTTTTATCTATTTAATTTTTTAAATCATTTACTTTTATTTATTTGGAAGGCAGAGAGACAGAAAGAGGAAGACAGAGACAGAAAGGCACACAACTCAGAGAGAGACATATCTTCCATCCACTAGCTCAGACCCAAATACCCACAAAAACCAAGGCTGAGCAAAGGTGACGCTAGAAGCCTAGAACTCAGTCTGGGTCTCCCACATGAGTGGCAGAGATTCAAATCTTTGAACTATCACTTGCTGCCTCTCCGGGTACACATTAGCAAGAAGCTGGAATCAGAAGCAGAGCCAGGACTTGAACCCAGGCACTCTGATACGGGGCACAGGCATTCAAAATGATAACTTAACCGCTGTGCCAAATATCCATTCTGATAAATCCCCTTTTAGTAAGAATAACTTTTTTTTCTGTTTTTCTCCCTCAGGCAGAGATTTTGTAGGAGCGCATCCTAGGGAGTGAAAATTTGAAGGAAATTCTTTTTCATATCACCTGAAATATAATAAATCAGATGAGCTTTTCCTGAAACCATCAGTGTCAGTGATCTTAAATAATACAAATGCAGATACCTCATACTGAATACACTTATCAAAATTCAGTTACTGGGGTGAGCATTGTGATACAGTGGGTTAAGCTGGCATTTAGGACAACCCCATCTTGTATCAGAATGCCACTTCAAGTACCAGCTAATCTGCTTTTTGACAGGCAGAGTGGACAGTGAGAGAGAGAAACAGAGAAAGGTCTTCCTTTGCCGTTGGATCACCCTCCAATGGCCGCCACGGCCGGTGCTGATCCGATGGCAGGAGCCAGGTACTTATCCTGGTCTCCCATAGGGTGCAGGGCCCAAGCACTTGGGCCATCCTCCACTGCACTCCCTGGCCACAGCAGAGAACTGGCCTGGAAGAGGGGCAACTGGGACAGAATCCGGCGCCCCAGCTGGGACTAGAACCCGGTGTGCTGGCGCCGCAAGGCGGAGGATTAGCCTAGTGAGCCACGGTGCTGGCCTAATCTGCTTCTGATCCAGCTTCCTACTAATGTACATGGGAGGCAATACATTATGCCCCAGTGCTTGGGTTCCTACCATATGGATTGAGTTTTGGACTCCTTTGGCCTGGCCTAGCACTGGCTGTTGTAGGAATTTGGGGAGCAAATCAGAGGATGGGAAATTTTCTTTCTCTCTCTCCCTCCCTCCCTCCCCTTCTCAGTTCACTTCTGCATTTCTAAATAAATAAATAAATGATTCAGTTGCAACATACTCAGCAGTTTTTCCCCTCTTGACTCTGAGGGGCAGGAGTTGAGGAAGAGTTGTCAGTCTGGCCTTCCACTGACCCCCTGTTGACATCCTTGTGTCTGCTAAATAAGTGCAAGCCCCGAGAATAATGATCCACACAGAATGGTGGAGTTTTCTCTAAGGTCCCTGGTGCAGCTGCCAGTAAGAGCAGCAGCTTCATGAGAGCCCGGGGCAATGAGATGTGGAATGGCCTATGGGCCATCGGTGACCCAAGAGGTGTGTCCTCAGCTTAACAAACAAGCAGGTCTTCTAGACGTCGAATCACAAAACCTTAGTTGGACCCAACATTACCTTTAGTGAGAAGTCGAGAGCTAAACCCCAAAGTCATCTAGACCATTTGGAGTCCTATCATGATCCCAGTAAAACTCCCACTGAAGGTAGTCGGCCTAAGCAAAGGTGGCTAATGTATGTCGGAGCCTGTACTGCAAACTGAAGGGTTACGCTTAGCTCATTGTTTTTACTGACTTAACTGCTTTAGGAGCAAAAAAGAAAACATAAACCAATGCTTTCCTAAGTACACAAACATGAGGTCATGCTTCCGTTCCTTATTATGGTTAAACGTGTGGAAGGCAGAGATGAGGGCAGAAATAAGAAGACAAAATAGGACTGCTGAGGCAACAACTGAGAGTCAAGAGTGTGATATGAATGGGCACATGAATCACATCCTGCCCTTCACTTCGGCTTTAAGACTTTCATTAAATTTTTGAATTAGTTCATCTAAACCTTAAATTTTAAGAAAGTCTTGGAATTATATAATGAGAAAAGCACATCCTAGAGGAAGTTATTCTCCAAGGGGTCATAGCTTGTAGAAGAGGCATGCACCTCTCAGGAGCCGTGTGCGATCATGTATTGACTGTTGGTATCCAACTGACTCAGAGCCACACAGGACTCCATACTTAGAAGGGGGCACACTTGGTTTAATGCTCTGTTGACTCAGTCATCCCAGTCTTAATAATTCATGGACAAGGGAACCTGTATCTTCATTTTGCACTGGGCCCCACAACTTACATAACTGGTCCTGGACATCAAGCCAACTGGCAGGTTATAGCCTCAGTGTCCTCCATTAAAAAATAGGTGTGTGTGTGTGTGTATGTATGTGTGTGTGTGTATGCATGCGTGCAATTGTGCATGTAATCCTCAGAAATTGTTAGAATATTTTTCAAAAAGAAATATTATTATTATATTTAGAAACTATAATCTTCTTGATGAACCTGTTTCTTGTTTGAGATTTTATGTAGTTCTAATCAAAATATTTCTCGACACCCAAGTTTTAGTGGGTGAAGAGAAACTATATGAAAAAGAACATGTAGATGAAAAACCATTAGTTTTATTTTTTATTTTATTTTTTTGATAGGC